TCATTCTTTCTCTCTCTCTCTTTTTTTTTTTTGGCTGGGACGAAAAGGAACAATGGGGCATCAGTTGGCTGGGCTGTGGTGTCCCTTATTGTTTTACAAAAAAGCCCAATCATACTTTAAACAAGACTAACAACAGCCCAAAATTTGAGTCGAGGTGGGTCTGAGAAAATAATACCAGAGAAAAAAGTTGAAACGGTTGCAAAAGTCGAGAAAAGTGCATCAAGTCTTTGGGAAAATATTTTTTCAAACAAAAAGTCAATGATTCTACCAACAATTCTAACATCTGTACCATAGTTGACTGTATGTTTTTATAAGGGACGTAAACATATGAAACATTGGTTCTTATTTCCTCTGTGATCATTTTCTAAAATGTCCTTCTTTCTTCAGCAGTCTGCTTTTCATTCTTGTTTTCATGCCAGATTATGTTCTAGCCAGTAATGTTCTGTGCATACATATTTTTTTTAAGTGGGAGAACTGACTTTCCATTTCTAGATTTGGCACCAAAAAAAAAAATCATGAGAGAGTATATTTTTATTTGATCCTGAATTGCAAGAGTTGTCTTTTGCTGTATGTATACTCAGAAAGGAAAGAAGAAGAAGGGGGGGGAAATCTAACCAATGCATGGGCAAACCCCCAGAAGTTAGCAACATGATCCATGCAGCTGCAACACTGCATTTCAAATTCAGTTTACTCATAGGACGAGGGCTAATCCTGCCCCCATAATTCCCTACAGCCAAAGTCTGCCCCCTCCCTGAGTGACAGTGCAATGCAAAGACACTACCACGCTTATCTCGCCTTACCAGATGGCCGACTTGGATCAATGCACACATGCCACGATCAATGGGAGCGATAAAGAATTAGGAAAACAGTGGTACATGCTCCCAGAAAGCTTGTATACTGCATAATTATTTTATGATTCTACACATGGCTACATGTGATACTGAAGACTAGAAGGAAAGGATGATTAGAGAGCCAGGAAGAATTTTTCCCCCTCCGTTCGGTGGTGCACATTGTCAGTCAGCAGTTTTCTCTCCATTAAATTCAGTTCTTTCCCAGGATTGTTTGGGCTCATGTGTGTATATTTTAACATCCAACTTTCTCCCCCCTTCCATGAAATTTGGAGGAAAATACAAAGCGTTCTCAAAAAGGACCATTTCTGCTTTCAAAGCCCAAGAAAGGTTAAGGTCGAGGGTATATAGGAATTAGGGATGACTTACGTTTTGTGAGTTACATTTATACCCCATCTTTCCTCTAATAAGCTTGAAGGGCTTTCTTCTCCACTGTATCCTCATAGCAATAATGGGAGGTAGATCTCTCTGTAAAAAGATGGCTAGAGTGTGATCCATAGTATCATCAGAAACGTTATTGTATAGTTAGATTGGGAGGAGGAGCATACCTTCCAACATTTCACAGACGAAAACCGAGTCACTTGTGATGAAGCAACATCAGAGTGTGCTCAAGATGACAAAAGGTATTGAGAAAGAAGATACAAGCTAAGAGATGCTGCAGAAGTTTGCTTTTGCTTGAGCCTATTGGGAAGGGCAAGATTATCCCTCCCTCTCTGCTGCGTTGAGAGCATATTTCCTTTGCAACATATTTCCTTTGCAACAATGGGAGAAAGTAGGAGGAGGAAAGAGAACCTGGATCATTTTCAAAAGAGGTGAAAAAGCTGAGAATTAATCAGGACTGCCAGTGTGTTGTAGTGGTTTGAGTGTTGGACTCCAACTATGGAAACCAGGGTTCGAATCCCACCTTGGCCATGAAACCCACTGGGTGACTTTAGGCAAGTCACCCTCTCTCAGCCTCACAGAAAGGCCAGGGCAAACCCCTTCTGAACAAATCTTTCCAAGAACACCCCATGAAAGATTTGCCATAAGTTGGAAAGGCACATAACAACAGCCCCCACCAAATTGGGATAGTGGAATAGGTATAGAGAAAGAAAGAAAGAAAATGTATCTGAAGAAATCTGGAGACCTTTTATTGTTTATGTTTCCTGTGCGGTCTCTGGAATTAAACTTTCACTTCATTGAGCATCTTTCTTGAAAAATACATTTTGTATTATATGAATATAGCTCTGGTCCAGCCTATGTGATAGACCATATCTCTCTCTGTTTAAGGTCTAAGATCTTTGGGGAAGGTCCCTCTTTCTGGGCCACCATCTTCCCAAGCTGATTTGGCAAGAAAACAAGAGAAGGTCTTCTTGGTGGCTGCTCCCAGACATAAGAGCTCCTTTCTTAGGGAATTTAGGATGGCTCCCTCCTTGGTCTCCTTCTTTTGGAAAGTGAAAACTTGCTTCCATTAAGATTCTAGTAAATGACTGCAACTGGCATTTAGTGGAGTGCTATTTTGTTGAGTTTTACACTCTGCCTTTTAATGAATTTGAAATAGTTTTATGGCTATAGATTTTTAACTGTGCATGTGTGGAGAGAAAGTGAGAGTGTGTCATGAGAGATGTTTTTAGTTTTGTGGAGAGTGCAACATGAGAGATGTTTTTGTTCCTTTATAACCTGTACTGGTTTAAATAATTTCTAAGCTTCCACATGTAATGAGAAGACTCTGAACCTGGGGAATTACTAAAGTCCAAGTCTTCTCTGGGATCTTTTATCCTTTATTTACAGAGGTGGCTAGAGAGGAGACTGATATAGAAACAAAGCTTTATTTGGGGATTCAAGCATACAAAGACATCCTAACGTACATGCACACACACAAGAACTGAGGAATAAAGTAGTTAGCTTGGATAGGAACACAAGACTTTCTAATGGTGATAATTACCTGAAAAGATGCCGCTCCAACGATGAATAGACTCAATCAAAAAGACAATAGGTAGAGCCGGAGACTCTAGCTAGAGATCATTAATGGTACAGAACCGTCATGAAATCTATCCAGACCCCCTTACTTTCCCAAGATTTTGGGGAGCATTTATATCCTTAAGACTAGGCTGAAGCAAAGAGTTGGTATTGTATATCAAAGGATTCCGATGCTTTGCTTTGAAGTAGACAATTTCCAAAAGAGGGGAGATAGGATGTTGATGCTATCTCACTTTTTCAGCCGGACACATCCTAGCTGGCTCATAAGTCTTTTAGGTGTGAATGTCCTGCTTTACAGTTCCTATACCTGGCCTTTTTGATCTGCAAATGGTTGTAAATGCAGATTAAACTCTGTTTGGAGTGCCTACGTTAGGCTCAGCCTTGAGCCCATGGCTTTCAGCATAAGGCCTTGACAGAGACCCAAAAGAGGTCTTGATATCAAAACGAATCAAAACCACTCATCGTAACACATGAGTCCTGGTATTATAAGTGAATATAACAACAACAACAAAAGCAATAAAGCACTTGATCAGAACTTCAAAGACAAACTGACTGTGGTGTGTATGTATGTGTATATATGTATATATGTGTGTGGAAATAAAAATGGGCCTGATTTGTCATATTGTAATATTTCTTTCATTTGAGATATGGTGCTGGAGAAGAATGCTGAGGATCCTGTGGGCAGCCAAGAGGACAAACCAATGAGTCCTTGAACAGATCAAGCCTGAAATCTCCCTGGAAGCCAGGATGCTTAAATTGAGGCTATCGTACTTTGGCCACATCATGAGAAGGAAGGACTCCTTGGAAAAGACAATAATGCTAGGAAAGGTGGAGGGAAGTAGAAAGAGAGGAAGACCACATGCTAGATGGACATACTCTATTAAGGAGGTCATGGGTATGAATTTACGGGACCTAAGCCGAGCAGTGGAGAATAGGGAGTCTTTGAGATTTCTCATCCATAGGGTTGCCATGAGTCAAGATCCACCTGAAGACAGTTAATAACAATATATATATGTAAGGTAATGGAACAGTTTGCAATGGGAAAACTTACTTTTAAAAAAAAACCTTTTGCAGAAATCAAGCTGAGAGAAGGACCAGCTGACCCAAAGGAATGTGGATAGAATTCCATGGATCATTTGGAATTTGAACCTGGATATCTCAAGTGTTAGTCCACTGATCTAACCACTGCATGGCAATAGCTTTGGAAATATGCTTGGAAAATGAAACAATGAAAAAGCAGCTGCTTTCAGCTTGGAGGGGAGAAGATATGAAGGTGTATTACATTTTCCTTCCCCTAAGAGCCCAGAGCAGGCACATTTTTGTCATCCCTTTTTATTTTCCCTGTCAACCAGTAAGCAGCAGCAGTCCCAGCTAGGGCTCGCCAGCTGCCAGGAAATACAATTTGAGTTTATCACTAATGGCTAGAGAATAACTCCATCCTATCCAAAACAAGATATAATCATATGTAAGCCAAATCTATTTGCATGGGATGCTAGGCAGATATCCCCTTGCAGCAAGAGCCACAGTGGTGAGAAGAGACATCTTGAAATTAGGACATTCCTAGCTAAGAACACTGCCAAACCTTCCAAAAAAAGAGAGTGGCTTCCACAAAGCTCCTAGAAGAAGTGACTATCTTTTTTAAAAAATGACATGCTCATCACAAATTTAAAAGTGTTTTTTTTTAATTAAAAAAAAGCCCTTCTCTCAGTCCCACCACTGTCACAAGTATGGTTGGTGGGGACATGAGAGAGGGGCCTTCTTGGTGGTTGCCCCTAGAATCTGGAACTCCTTTCCAGGGAGGCCAGAATGGGCTTCTTCTTGTCTTATTGGCAGGCTAAAACCTTTTTATTCTCATAGGCTTTTAAAACAGAAAGTATTTAGAGAACACTTTGTGTGCTGTACTGTTTTAAATTAACTATTTTTAATAGCTTTTAATCTTTTTTAAATCTGTCAGGCCATCTGTCGGGAATGCTTTGATTTTGAGTTCCTGCATGGCAGAGGGTTGGACTGGATGGTCCTTGTGGTCTCTTCCAACTTTATGATTCTATAAGAAGGTTCAACTGTTTAGGTGTCCTTTATTGTCGCTGTATGCCTTCAAGTAATTTCTGATTTATGGAAACCCTAAAGCAAACTATTACAGGGTTTGCTGGAGTTGAGAGTATGTGACTTGCCCAAGGTCACATTGAGTTTCCATGGCTGAGCAGGGAACTGAACCCTGGACTCCAGAGTCATAGTCCTACACACAAACCACTACACCACACTGGCTCTCTTAAATGTATTTAGGGATGCCATTTTCATTAGTTGCTGTTTGTCACATCATCATCATCATCATCATCATTATCATCATCATCTGCTGCTGCTGCTGCTGCTTAACAGTGTGGAGGGGAAGGATAGGAGAGACAAGCCAGCGATGGTAATTTTATGTGCCCTATTGTGCAGAATACATAGCATGATAACTTCCCATGTGGTATTCTCTGACCAGGTTGGATCTACCCACATGGCTCTTCTTGCAAGGAGGAAACTGCAAAGGCTGCTGAGAAGTCAGAAGGAGGGCGACCCAGAGGAGGGCGACCAAAACGGTGAAGGGTTTGGAAACCATGCCTTATGAGGAGAGACTTAGGGAGCAGTTAAGAGGTGATATGATAGCCCTGTTTAAATATTGGAAGGGATGTCATATTGAGGAGGGAACAAGCTTGTTTTCTGCTGCTCCAGAGACTAGGGCCCAGAACAATGGATGCAAACTACGGGAAAAGAGATTCCACCTCAACATTAGGAAGAATTTCCTGAAGAGCTGTTCAACAGCAGAACACAATCCCTGAGAGAGTAGTGGAGTCACCTTCTCTGGAGGTCTGTAAACAGAGGCTGGATGGCTATCTGTTGGGGATGCTTTGATTGTGTGTTCCTGCATGGCAGGGGGTTGGACTGGATGGCCCTTGGGGTCTCTTCCAACTCTATGATTCTATGGTTCTATGATTCTATGAAGCAGAAGTAGCAGCCAAGAGAAACATTAGCACCCAACAGGAATGAACATGGAAAATTAATTTTTGCAACCCAGGACCAGCTGGTGATTCCCATGTGAGTGGACCAGTGCATCCACTCTAGATTTTACTCTGAACTTTCAGTGAGGCAAATGTGCTGATGGAGCTAGAGTTTAGAACTTTTCCTTTAAAATTCATACTAAAACCCAGGGTGGATTCACAACCCCATTGACATCAGCTGCCACTGCTACAGATCTAAATCATTTTCAAAACAAAATATCCTACCTACTCCATTTCCATAAAAACAACAACTATAATGCAATATGCCCTTGGTATCCATTGGGGTTTGGTTCCAGGACCATGTGTGGATAGCAAAAATCAGTGGATGCTGAAGTACCATTATATAGAACGGTGTAGTAAAATGGTGTCCCTTATTTACAATGGCAAAGTTAAGGTTTCCTTTTTGGAATTATATTTTCTGTTATATATTATATATTGTTATATATTTTCAAGCCATGGATGGTTGAATCCACAGATGCCTAATCTGTGGATACAGAGCACCAATTGTAATAAGAAATATCCCATGTTTTCCCCAGTTTGGGACTCAAGGCAGCTCACAGCAGTTAAAAGAAACCTAGTTAAAAACAGCATACAAAAGTTAAAAGCAATGAAACCATCATAGAATTTAAAACCAATGAAAACAACAGCAACAAATAAAAGTCTAGCACATTAGCCACAGTTCCCCCCCCCAAAAAAAAATCAAAAGTGTTGATCCAAATATGCAAACTAGCAAATATTCACCATAGCTGTAACCTAGAATCTATTCACCAAGAGCAAGATGGTGAACCTAGCTCCTGAAATCTCTCTGTCCCCAGATTGAAACGTATCCTGGGCATGCCCTTCATGAACATTTCCATAAGAAACATTCGGAGTTTGCTCCAGTTGGCTTAGGAGGTTCTTCAACTCCTCTTCAGCCCTTTGGCTGGCAAGGAAAATCTTCTGCAGAGGGGTTTGCATCAGCCAACCACATATTGCCTGGCAGCTTGTATCTGGCAATTTTGGTTTCTGTTTTGGACAGGTTCCTTCACCCTCTTTAGCAGGGCCTTTCCAGAGTTTGGAAAGTTATTTTTTCAAAGGAATTGACTCCCCTTCTTCATGCTTGTGTTTTAGAAGTAATTCAGTGGCATGACAATGTTTCAAAACAGCAATCCTGCAGCCTTGGAAAAAACAACTCCTATTAAAGTTCATGAATGGAGGCTGATAGTAGATTGAACTCAATAGTTTATTTAACAATACAGTGCCTGGTGGATTCGGGCTTGGAAGCCCAGGGCTTCACCCTGAACAAGCATCAAAGCAACTTTATAAACATTTCTTACAAAAGCATGCAGTGGCAGCAATTGGTAACAAAAGGCTAAAACCTATGTAGAAATTCAACACAAAGGAGCAAACGGTATTTCCAAACGATGTGTGTTGAACTTGTTCTTTGTATCTAATTTTGGTGTTCTGGTTGTTCTCAGCAGAACATGTCAAGATGCTTTGAAACATGGCTTGAAACACTAAGAGCTTACCATTTTTTTAATGCCTAAGCATTTTTTTTTCTTCAACGTGGCTTTACCTCATTTAGGCCTTTATGATTCCTTTCTGGCTTTTCTCCTTCACTCTTCAGATGTCGCTGAACTGTAGCTCCCAGCATCCTGAAATCATTAATCTGCTGGCAAGAGCTGCAATCCAAGAACATCCAGAGGGCTGCACAATCCTGGCCCCTGTTTTAAAAGTTGCTTATTGTGTTGCTTGTCAATACTCCTTTAGTAAGATTAATAACCATCACCCTTACTAAGTAATTACCATTATTTAGATTCATAACCCTTACCATTAATAAATAATTAGCATTATTAAGAGTCATAACAAGAGGGTATTAAACTACTGCCACACAGCCATGAAAAAAATCCTTGTGAATGGAAGTTTTAAAAGTAGCTAGAAAATGTTACTTACCCACCAAGCAAAAGTGGTGTTGTCCCAAACCATTGGCCAGAATCCCTTTGGGGTTGGTGTCTTATGCACACACAAATTCCCTTATGAAAGCAGTTGGACATTTGTGTTTGGTGCAGACCATCTGTATTCAGTGGCATCTCTAGGGTTGGCATCACCTAGTCGGATAACGCATGGTGTCACCCACCCACATTGACCTTATTAATGTGTTTTGTATTAATTTTACTCATAAATCGTATTTCCCGTATAATAATAATAATAATAATAATAATAATAATAATAATAATAATAATAATAATTTTTATTTATATCTCGCCCCTCTGCCAGGCAATCGGGGCGGCGTACAACATTACAAAACTTCAAAACAATAAATCAAATTGAAATTCCATCCCTCCTTCACCTGCCCACCCACCCCCCCAAACATACTAAACAAATTAAATAACAGTAATTAAAAATATACAATTTTAAAAAATGCATAATTTTCTTGTCATTGTGGTCCTCCGAGAGCTGTAAGATGGCAAAACAGTCCTCCGTGATCATAGAACACCACCGCTCACCGCGTGGTGCCACCGGCAGGTGGAAACGGGCGGGTTTTAAGTCCGTCGGTACTCCTCCCGGCTGTTTCGCAGGTGCGGCTGCTCAAGCCGCACAGGTGGTGCTCCAAGGGGAGCCGAGGTATATCACTGAATGTAATGCCAATAGTGTGATGTATACAACTAGCAAAATTAAAATTATACCTTTAAATTACAATATCATATGCACAGCCCAAATATATTTACATATACATTGTTTCATTGTTTTAAAATGGGGCCTCTCATTTCTCTTCCTAATGAGCTTCACCCCACTCACCCCATCTCTTCTGCATTTTAAAGGAACACGGGAATGCCAGAGCCCATTTCTGCCACAAGCTAAATGTTTGAGGAGCAGTTGTGTTACCTCCTTTAAGATGTCACCTGGTGCAGTCCACACCTCCCACACCCCTGAAGTGACACTCCTGTCTGCACTTAGTTCACAGGAGTGGAAGCAGAGTTGCACATGCAATGCCATTGTCCATATATGAACATTGTGCATGGATGCACATGGCATAGTGAATGAAGATGTTCACGTGTGCTTGGTTGTTCATTGAATTGCACATACAGCATCTTGGTCCAATGTTGTCAATCAACACAAGAATAGAACAGCATAATTAACATGTAACTCTACATGCAGCAATTTATGCTACCCAATCTTGATGAAGGATTTTCACCATGCTGTTAATTTGTAGCTGACTACACTATCATTAACATGTCATTTCCAAGCTCTAGGCATTCTTACCCCTGCTGTATGCATTATTAAATGTTGTTGTTAATGTCATAAAGTGAGACAACATGTAGGTAAACCCCATAATGGCTCTAACTCTAGTTAGAACTAACAATGCAGTTCAAGGCATTGTCATTCATTGAATAGCATCCTGTTGGTGTTTTATGCAAGTGTCAGTTCCCTTATGCATATGGTTCTACTTTGTTGGCAAGTGAGGAATAATGATTTGAGTGTTGGACTATGACTCTGAAGATCAAGGTTCACATCCCCGCTCTGCCATGGAAACCCATTGGTAAGTCACACTCTCAGTGCAAAGACCACCAGAAAGACTAACAAATGGGTCTGTGAGCAAATTCAGCCTGAATTCTCACCTTAGAGGCCATAATGACTAAGGCTATTGTACTTTGGACATGAGACAACATGCCTCATTGAAAGAGGCAATCATGCTCAGCAAAATGGAATGCAATAAGACAAGACAATGGGCCTTTGCAGACTGCCAGAAATAGTGCACATTAAATTGCGGCACTGCCCTGGCTTAGTGCTAGGGAATCATGGGAACTGTAATTTATTGTGGCACCAGAGCTCTCTGACAGAGAAGGCTCAATGTCTCAGAAAAAAATACAATTCCCATGACTCCTTAGCACTAAGCCAGGGCAGTGCCTCAATTTAATGTGCACTATTTCTGGCAGTCTGCAAAGGCCCAAAGACAGGATTACAGGCATATTGATTCAATCATGAAATGATGGCACTGAGCTTGCATACTCT